TCCAGACTAGAGAGAGCTATGATAGACACCAACAAGTTAGAGCAGGATACCATCAGTAAACATTCAGAAATTCTACCTATACACTTGGAGGAAAATTCCTCCCCCTTCCTTAAAACAGATGTAGATTAATTTTCAGAACCATCTGATCGTCTTACAACCTTTGGTCAATAAAACATTTCAACTGAAGAGGGAGGGAGAGAGTTAAAAGGGGAAAGCAAATACACATTTGTTGCAAAACCGGAGACCATTAATACTAACAAAGTTCTAAGTGCTTCCTTGTAAAGAAAAGTACTTCTTTCTGAGTAGGTAAAGGGTCAAGGAGTAGGTCCTGTCGTAAACATAATCAGAACAAAAAATTAACAGAATTCAGAGAAGGGCAACGGGGTATTGCTAACAAAGACAAAAGTGGAAATAAAATATCTTGCCGGGTTTCCTTTGCCAAGGCAGAAAATGCATGAATTGACAAAAGATTCCAAGACTTTCTTTCACTTTCTAGCCTTGCAAACATTTAGGAAACTGACAATCGTGGGAAGGAGAAGAGAAACAAGGGGACAAGGTCCATGCAAGTGAAGTTATGGAAGGAAGAGAAAAGAATTAAAGTGGGAGCAAGAAGCATACATTTGCAAAGCTAAATGAGGACTGTGAAATAAAAATAGCCCTGCTTTGTTAATTCCAATAATGAAGTATCCAACGGTTGACATCTAGCCATACCAGATACTCTCTAAACTAATTATTTTTATTTGGTATTTTTAAACAGAATAAAGTAAAAAAAAAAAAAAGGACAACTTGGCAGGAGCAACTATACTACGGGTTACTCTGTTGGTGGCATGAAAAAAATGTTTTCAAGCTGAGCCCCTTAAAGCCCAATTTTATTTTAGTGGACATTTGAAAGAAATTTTTAAAAATAAGATTTTTTTCCCCTACTAGATTAGCAAAGATTAAAACAAACAAACAACAACAATAATAATAACAACAACAAAACAAAAAAAACAGCCAACTTATACTAGAGAAGATCTGAAGAAAAAAAAGTCTCTCTCATGTGTAATTTGGCAATATGTGTCGAAATGCAAAACACACATATCCACCTACCTGCAATTTCCCCCTTTAATACTTTATGCTAAGGTAATCATGGCATTAAGTACTTAAAGATGAGCTCAAAAGGAAATTTATTAAACCAATGTTTTACTTACAAAATTTAAATACAACCTGACATCCATCCTGGAGTCTGGTTAGATTATGGTACATACATTCAAACATGTACTATGTGGTCATTAAAACTGATGGTAAGTCAGAGAAAGACAAGTCCCATATAATTTCACTCATACGGTGAATTTAATGAACAAACTGGACTAACAAACCAAAGAGAGACAGACTCCTAGACAGAGAGCAGGCAAGCAGCTCTGGTGGGAGGGTTTTGCAGTGAGAGGATGGAGTGTTGAGCCTGGACATGAACTACAGTGTGGTGACTGTTGGGGAGGAAGGAAGGAGCATAGTTGAATGTGGAAAAAGGGATAAATGGTGTTGGGAAAAAGAAAATAAAAATAATTTAAAACTGATGGCAATGATTTATATTTATGGCATCAAATATAATGTCAAGAGGAAAAAGCAGGTGATAAAATAAAAGGTAGAGGCAGCAGGAGCCCAGGAACGTGCTGAGCCGTCCATGGGCAAGTCTGCGTCCAAACAGTTTAACAGCGAGGCCCTGCGGGCCCACAGCGAGCACCGGCCGCGGCTGGCGTCCCTCCGCTGAAGCTGAGGGAGCAGCTCAGCCGGGAGGCTCAGCAGTATTCGGGGCGCTGCCAGCATGAGGATCCTCAAGCACAGCTCCGTGGCCAGTGCGTGGCCAGTGCGGAGAGAACCTGGCCTGGGCATCCTGCGATCAGCCAGGACAGGGGGTGGCGGACAGGTGGTACAATGACATTAAGAACTACAACTTCCAGCGGCCTCCTTCCCCTCTGGGACGGGGCACTTCACGGCCACGTATGGAAGAATACAAAGAAGATGGGATGGGAAAGGCATCTGCAAGTGATGGGTCCTCCTTTATGGCGGCTAGATACGTCCCAGCAGGGAATGTCGTCAACCAGGGCTTCTCTGAGGAAAACGTCCTGCCTCCAAAGAAGCAACTTGCCAAATGCAATGGGCAGGCGGCAGTCTTAAGAGCATGGATATGAAGTGCCTACGTCAGCAAAAGCTCAGCTGTGTGTCTGTCTGTGCGTGCATGTGTCTCTTGCACACACCCTGGGATAGACAGCTGTGCATGAACTAATTCCTATGACAGGACTGAGCCAAGGAAGCCTTTCCTCTGATGGTTAGACCACAATTATTTGGATTTTGGGGGGAAATCAAGTTTTAAACTTTTTGGGGTTATTTTTTTTAATGTATTTAATTGATTTTTTACAGAGAGGAAAGGAGAAGGATAGTTAGAAACATGGATGAGAGAGAGACATCGATCAGCTGCTCCTGCACACCTCCCATTGGGGATGTGCCCGAAACCAAGGTGCATGCCCCCGACCGGAATCAATCCCGGGACCCTTCAGTCTGCAGGCCGACGCTCTATTCACTGAGCCAAACTGGTTTCGGCTGGGGTTATTTTTAAAGCAAACTTCTTTTGTATCTTCCTTAATTATAATATCCATCCCTGGACTTTTTGTACCCCAATCGTTTGTGATGCTGAGAAGTGAAGTTCATTTCCTGTGATCTTCATGCCTTAGAATCTACTGGTGGTAGATATTGAAGACAATTAACCCCTCATTTAAATGTGACATAAAACACAGCTTTAAACACACAGTAATAAAACAGCTTCCATCAGAAACATGGTGCAGGCAGGGGTTCCATTTCACAGAATTACTGAGAGTTCTTTGTTATAAGCAAGATGTGATCTGCATGGCCCCTGAAATTCTTGGGTGGGATTGCCAAAGAACAAAGGAGAAAAAGCTTTACTTCCTTGCATTTTTCTACTGTAAAAAAACAAAGTTCTGCCAAAACCGGTTTGGCTCAGTGGATAGAGTGTCGGCCTGCGGACTAAAAGGTCCCGGGTTCGATTCCGGTCAAGGGCATGTACTTTGGTTACAGGCACATCTCCAGTGGGAAGTGAGCAGGAGGCAGCTGATCGATGTCTCTCATCAGTGTTTCTGACTCTCTCTCCCTCCCTCTCTGTAAAAAAATCAATAAAATACAGAAAAATAAAAAATAAAAGGTAATCTCACACAGGTATATTCCCTCAAGATGGTGGTGGGACAGGTGGACCATTGCCTGCCTGCCCAGAACTGTCAGCACTGGCCCTCTCATCCTCAGAAAGGTTACTGAGCACTATGGAAATCCTAGAAATGCAGGTGCTTTGTCAAGACACATTCATCACATTAGCTGTTTCTCCCCTCACACATACATACACAATGCAATCACCTTAGATGTTAAGAAGTCCTTTATCCTATAATAAGAGAGTTATGAGATAAGGAAAATGTTTGTCATCCACACTGGCTTTAACACGAGTGAAATAAATAGCTCAAATGTTTTGAATCATTTTCTTTATTTCAGCCCACTTTGATCAGCTTAGTAGAAATGCAACTGGAATTGTGTGACTCTAGCTGTAACTGTGTCTTTGCAAGTGACTGACCATATGTCTGTCTGACCGTCCAACTGACTGGTACACATGACATACACTAGCAATTTAAAAATAAATGTTGACTCGCACATGCATGATACATATAAAGCTCTCACTGGCACCAATCGCACATGTTTGTTTCAATCTGTCATTGTCAATCGTGAACTTGGTTGACACTTCTATTATAGAGAAAGGGTGAATAGCAATCCTATATAATAAAAGCCTAATATGATAAATGTCTAACCATTTGACCAGTCACTACGATGTGCACTGACCACCAGGGGGCAAATGCTCTGACCGGTAGGTTAGCTTGCTGCTGGGGTCCGGCCAATCGGGACTGGGCAAGATGGGCCAGATACAGCCTGGAGCCTTCCCCCAGTTCCTCCCCTTCCCCAATTGGGTACTGTGGGGCCCCTCAGCCTGGCCTGTGCCCTCTTGCAATCCGGGACCCCCTTGGGGTTGTTGCAGAGCCAATTTCAACCCAATCCCTACAGGTCATGCCAAGGGACCCCACCGGTGACTGCACTGGGACTCTAGTATTAAAATATTTCTTCTAATTAATTTCCTTTCAATGTGCACAACTCTGCACCAGGCCACTAGTCAATAATAAAATCCCAAGTGCCTTTAGGTTTGAAACAATTAAGTAAATATTCTATTTCGCCTGAAGAAAGTAGCTCAGTTAGATTACCTTAGTATGATTATTATCTATCAAAAACTAATTATTGTACATAAAAATAAATCTGCATATATAGTATAGTTCTAAAGACTCAACATGTATTGTATGATCCTAGTTATATAAAACTGTATGTTCATATATACAAAGAGATATCTGAAAGAATGCCAACTATTGTTAACATTTTAGTAAACTAAAATTAAAATTTTTATTTTGTTTTAAAAATTAGCATCATTTTTATAACAACAAAAAAACAAATTTAAAACTACTTTGAAAAATTCAAGCATGAAAGATTTCTTTTTGAGAGTTTTGATATTAGGTAGTTTTAAAGGTTCACTGTAAATATTCTTTTGAATGGTTTTATGTAAAATATTTTTAACCCAAAATAAAATTAAACCAAAATAAATTATAATCCCTTTACATATAAACTCTATCCATAATTATTATCCTCCTGACAGAGAGAGGATGGAGAAGAGTTACGATCTTAATAGCAATTTACTAGAGTTCCCTATGTAACTCAAATTGGGAGATTTATATCTCTGAAATGCACTTTTACCAGAATTACAAGGAAACTGTAACAGATACTCAGATATCAAAAATACACTCAATACTTGACAATATGATATAAATTTTCAACTGTACCACTTCATGCAGCACCTGAAATCTATATGCACCTCCTCTAGCCTCTGGGTCCTCCTGGTGGTATTTTAGATAAATGTTACTCACCTCTTCAAGCTTCTTCTCAATCTCCTTAAAGACAAGATTTGCTTTAAATCCCTCAACTGCAGCGCTGGTTGGAGCAGCTTCAATCTGACGAGTTCTAAAGAATTGAGGAAAAGGCTTCATTTCAGTCCATGGAGTCATACAGGTACTAGGTTTTCCAACATTTATACAGTTTAATTTTCCAAAACCCTAAAAACAGAGATGTTATGACTCTTACCCAAATAAAATTATTAAACCCATAAGACAAGTTTTACTCCCCATTTTTTCCCCCCCAACAAATATGAGTACTCACTAGATGCTAGGCACCATCCTTAAAATATGGTAAACCAAAGAACCTACCCTCATGAAGCTTATATTTATGCTAGTGGGGGAGAGAAGCAATGAACAAGCAAAAAAATAAAGAATATAGTTACCATTGAAGAAAATAAGGCAGGTTAAGGGGATATAGAGAAAGTATATTTATTTGTATTGGGTTTTCTATTTTATTTTATTTTTTAAAAATATTTTATTGATTTTTCACAGAGAGGGAGAAGGATAGAGAGAAACATCGATTAGCTCCCTTCCACACAATCCCCCACTGGGGATGTACCCACAACCAAAGCACATGCCCCTGACCAGAATCAAACCCGGGACCCTTCAGTCCACAGGCCGACGCTCTATCCACTGAGCCAAACCGGCCAGGGCTGGGTTTTCTATTTTATATAGTCTAGTCAGATAGGCCTCTCTGAGGAGGTGATACTTAAATTATGTCAATGATTTAGGAGGGGAAGCCAGTTCTACAATAGCTTGGCAGTTAAAGGAACTATAAAACCAGCATGGCTGGAGCGGAGCAGAGTGGAAGGATCTAAGGAACAGAAACATGCAGGGCGAGATAAGATATTGAGGGGTTTTACAGGTCATGAGTAGGAGTCTGGGTTTTATTTCAACTATAATGAGAACTGTAGAGTATACACTGGAAAGTAACATGATCCAATTTACATGTTTTTTGTTTTTTGTTTTTTGTTTTTAAAATAAACCTGGCTGCCAGTTAGAAAATGGATTACAAGGGGCAAACGGGGAGGCAGGGAGACTGGTTCAGAGGCTACTGCAAAAGTCCAGGCAGGAGGTGATGGTGATGGAGCAGGTTTCATAAGGAAGTGGGGAATAAGCAGAGGATGGACTTGAGGTTCACTGTGTACATGTGATTCAATATATGAATCTGTGGATGAAAAATGGGTTCTGTGAAAAGTAACCTCACAGGGTGATCTGATCATAAATTCCTTTCTGGTAAGGTCATGGTGGGCATTCACGCCCCACGCACATAGCTTTTTAGTAAAAGGTTTATCTTTGTTATAGCACTCCGACAATTGTTTCTGTGCACCTAGGTTAAGAATTGCCTTGCTTTCTCCTACTATCATGTAATCTTTCTTTTATTCCCTCCTTAATTTCAGTGCATAAAAGAAACTGTCATTCTCTGAAGCATATGAGATCTTGCTTCCAGGCATATGTCACCAGTGTTGACGCAAATAAACTCATAAAAATTCTCTACAAGTTTGGACATTTCCTACATTGACAAATTTACAACCATCTGTCTGAGTACTGGTTGTTTGATTCTTAAGGAACCATAAATGGCCTCCTGTGGCAGAAAAAACAGTCTTTATTGCCACAAAGGCCTCAGTTGAAATGTCAAGGGCTTTCTCCACTCACTGGCTATATGAGTATGAGCCAGATACATCCTCTCTGTGTGCCTCTGGTGAGGAGGCAGGAAGGGAGGTGGGAGTGCCAATAACTTGCAGAATTAAATGGAATCCAAAATATGAAAAATGATAGACATGACAGTTATGGCTCCAGAGCCTCTAGTGTTAGATGGACAGAAACTTGAGGGGTCTGAGGAAGATGAGGGCACCTGCGACGTCAGGAAATTCCTCTGCCACACTGCCAAGCATGCGGCTGGTGGCTGGGGCTTCCACTGGAACAACACGGGAAGGATATACTAGAAAGAGTCAAGAGTGTAACAGCTGCTCCATGAGCATTTCTCTTTCCCTGCCTTTCCTTTCCTTTCTTTTCTCTCCCCTCTCTCCTTTCTTTTCCTTTTTTCTTTCCCGACCCACCTGTTTCTTTTTTCCTTCCCCTTTCCTCCTTTCTATCATTTTATAAATATTTAATGAGTGCTTGCTACATGGTAGACATTGTTCCAGATACTAGAAGTATAATAGCAAACAGACAGGCCCAGTCCCTCTCCTCCCTAAGTTTATCATTCTTCAGTGTGGAAGAAAAGGAATTAGACAAACTAATTGCAAGTGCTAGGAAGCAAACAAAAAGAGGAAGAATCTACTTTTAGGGCAATCAAAGAATGATATCTTTGAGCAGATGGATTTAAGCTAAGACCCAATTAAAGGAAGAAAAGGAGATAGCCATTCAAAGAAGAAACCGCCAAGTCCATGAGAAAATAGTCTCTGGCATGGTAAAAGAAAGTAAGACAGGGCCAGTGTCACTAGAGCACAGTAAATGGGGGATAGTGACGTGAAACTGGAGAAGTAGGCAGGGCCCAGATCATGCACAACAAAGTAGGAAATCTGGGAAGCCACGGAAGTGATTAAACAGGGAAGTGAAATCATTTAATTTGTGATTATGCTTACAACAGTATGCAGAATGAACTGGGGCGAAGAGTGTAAGAACAGAGGCGGGAGCTGGTTAGGAGCTGCTAGAGTAGTCCAAGTGAGCAGTGATGGTCTCTGCACTACAGTGGGGGCAGTTGGCCAGTGGAGATGGAGAGAAGGAAGTGGATTCCAAATAAATTTTGGAGATAGAATCCAGATGGAATGAGGGAAACCTAAGTGGTGGGGAAAAGGGCAAGGATGATTCAGAATAGCAATGTCAGCTATTGATGAAAGGAAACACGCAGTGGGAGCAGAGGGGACCGAGTTCCATTGTAGGCGCGTTAAGTATGAGATGTTTCTGAGACAAGGCAGTTGGACAGGCGAGTCTGGTGCTCAGAGGAGAGAGGTCCAGGCTGAAGATACAATGGAGATAATCATCAGCATAATGAACACCTTTAAATCCATGGAAACTGCTAAGCTCGCCTAGAGAGAACAAGGGAGAAAGAAGAGAGCCCAGGACAACACCGGAACTCCTTTATTGAGAAGTCTGGGGGAGAAGGGAAGCAGAGCCAGTGATGCAAGAAGAAAACCAGCAGAGCACGGTGTCACACGAGCTGACGGGCAGGAAGAACCTGGAGGGGGAGTGAACCATGTCCAGCACCTGTGCATTTGGCAATATGGAGAGTCCAGATGACTTGGACAAAGGCAATTTTTAAGTCAGTGGTGGGAGATAGAAGTCAGATGAGAGTGAATTCAAGAGTGACTAGAAGAGGGAAAGAGGCAGTGTGGCTCTTTTGAGACATGGCTTTTAGGGGAACATGAAATGGAGTGGTCTTTGGAGAAGAGTGTAGTATTAAAAAAAGTTTGCTTTTGTTTTAAGATTAACCTGCTGAGCATGTTAGCCTGATGTTGGCAATGAACCAGGGGAAAGGAGCCCTAGGAGAGAAGTCTTGAGGTGACAGGGGAATGAGATACAGGAAAAGGAGGAGACTTAAGGGAAAGAGGACTAAGTGGGTGTGGTTCTCCATAGGGCTACAGATCTTGAGATGAGAGATGAGGAAATACGGGTCTAATGGTTTAGGATTTCGCAACAAAGTAATCAGCTGAGAATGAGGATGAAAGAGTGGGTGTGGGAAGTCTACGGGTTGAAAGCCAGCCCACCAGAGGAATCTTATTGAAGTCATGAAGAGGCATGGAACCTGAGCTCCTGCCATGCTGAAACGTGGGCAGTTCTCAGAGCACGAAATGCTACTTCTGTGCCTTTGCTGCTCTATGTCTGGGATACTTCTGTCCTGGCAAACTCCTTTTCACCCTCCAAGACCTAAAATGAGAAACTACTTTGCTGTGAATCCCCACTAAATGTCAGCTTCTGGAGAGAAGATATCACATCATTTTTTTAAAAAATCTGTATATCACCTGTTCTTGGCACACAAAAGTATTCAGTGAATAGTGACTAAGTGAAACAAAAATTACACTAAATTCTTCTTTACCTAAATCCTAATTTTTTTTTCCTGTTCCGTTTGGAGCAGAATTGTCTATGGTCACCATCTTCTCTGTCAAAAGTCTGAATGAGTGACCTAAAATCAAATGACCATGACTAGTCTTCCACAGGCCAATTTTATTTCATTAATTCAACTCTTCAGCTTTAGAAAAAAAAAAAAGAAAAAAAAAGCTTGCACAAAATTCGTGCAAGAGTAGGCCTTCCTTCCCCCAGATGCCAGCACTGGCTTCCCTCTGGCACTCGGGACCTGGGCTTCCCTCACATCCCCAGCTTCATCCCGAAGGTCGTCCGGAAGGATGTCCAGTCTAATTAGCATATTACGCTTTTATTATTATAGACTAGAGCAGCAGTCACCAATCTTTTGAACCTCACGGAACATCACTGGTCTGTGGACCACCGCTGGACCAGAGGCTCAGTACATGAAAATTTGTGCAACCGGCAAGGGTCCCTCAGCCCAGCCTGTGCCTTCTCCCAGTCCAGGAGCCTTTGGGGGATGTCCACCTGCCAGCTTAGGCCCGCTCCCCGGGGGATTTTAATTATCATTGTACCTTCCTCTAGCTTGCCACTTCCTAATTGTACATGACAAAGTAATAACTGATATTAAAGTGCCTTTTCAGTGTACAAAATATCTTTTTTTTTTTTTTTAATAGACAATAAAAGGTTTTATTGCCTGGCCAGCCATAGCTCAGTGGTTGAGCATTGACCTATGAACCAGGAGGTCATAGCTCGATTCCCAGTCAGGGCAATGCCAGCTTGCAGGCTCAATCCCCAGTGCGGGGCATGCAGGAGACAGCTGATCAATGATTCTCTCTCATCTTTGATGTTTCTATCTCTCGCTTCCTCTCCCTTCCTCTCTGAAATCAATACAAATATGTATGTTAAAAAAGGTTTTATTACTCAAAGATTAATTGGGTAAGTTGATTTGTTTATATTCATTCTTGTGAAATAATTTTTTTAAAATATAACCAACTTCTTTGCAAATAGCAGGCACATACCCCAACTATGATGAACTAGTTT